ACCTTTAGATCAAAGGGGGGAACAAAGACTTCACTGGAAGCACTTACATGCTAGTAACTTGCAGTAACTCCACACAGCTTCTCTGAAACACACACGCTCACCAGGAGGGGCCCGGTGGGCAATTGGTTACAATGATGTGCATAATGGACTGCAGTTAGGGGGTCTGTGTTAATTAGAACAGCTCCTTTCAGAGAGCAGCTTAATTGCATCTCTTTTGCATAAGAAACCTTTCAATCTTACACATACAACCAAGGACAGGCAAAGCTAATGGGGGGAAGTGTCCTGAGCCCTGGGTCCCCCGGCCTTCGCTCAGAGCCCACACGCTAGCTCTCTGCCAGGCAGCAGGAGCATCAGCTCAGCACCAGCTGCCCACAGGCTCCCCACTTCCTGACTGGCAGGGAAGGGAAGGAAGTTCTTTCGGAAGCCCCCCTGTTGTTCTGGCTTACAGAGAAACCACAGCTGAATCAGATTTCTTGGTACAAAGGAAACTCCTCCCCCCAAAGCATGGCCCAGCAGGAGGGTGTGCGCACCCGCAGGAATGTGGACCATGTAGCCAGAATGTTCCTCCTTCACAAAAGCCACTCACTTCCCGGCCGGCCGGCAGTGGGATCTGAGAACCACGTGAGTGTGGAGTGGGGACGCTGAAGTGACGACAGGGAAATCCTCACAGGCTGAAGAGTAGAGAAGGCTATCCCCGAGCATAGCCGATGGCTCCTGCAGCTCTGAGCACAGTCCCTAAATCCACGCAGCAAACCCAGATGCGGTCCAGCCAGCTCTGACGCCAGAGGACCCAATGTGTGTCAGAGGAGAACAGGCTCCAGCAGGGTTTGCAGGGACAGGGTTTTCTGAAGGAGATGGCAAGCCCTTCTTTCTGAGGAGGGTGGTGGAGGGGGTGGGGTGGGATAGGTGGTGGCGGAGGGGGGGTGGTGGTGTTAGTAGGGCGGGGTGGAGATGGAGATGGTGGTAGTGATGGTGGGGGTGGTGGGGGTATAGGTGGTGAGAGGGTAGCTTGAATGCCCAACTTTTGATTGGCAGCCGAACCAGTTAACCGTTGGCACCACCTGCCCCAAAGCCCCTGACTTCTGACCCACAACCACCCTACCGGATGAAGTAGAACCTCCCCTTGGGGTTCTGAAGGGAGCAGGCAGCTTCATCTCTCACCCTCGGAGCAGCTGGTGAGTTCAAATTGCTGACCCCGAGGTGAGACGTGCCACATGCAACTTGCTGTGCCCCCGGGCCCTGGTGCCCCAGCCAGCATGTAGGAAGGCAGGGCTGAGTCGGCTTCCGGAGGGTCACGGGTTCCTACTCTGTACACACGGCGTCTCCATGAGCCAGAGTACTGTATTCCTCTAGGCGGATTTATGTGCTCACCTGTCAGGACACACTGTTTGCAACATTCCTCGCCAACACCACCCTTCAGAATCACCAAGCCTTCTTCAGTCTCCTTAGTCACTATCTAGCTCCTGTAAGCAGCTGACAATATCATGGCTTAGGCCAACCACCCCCGAGTCCTCAAAGTAACATCTTTGCTTCTGAACACTCTGAAAGAAGTTTTTTGCAGCAGATTCGGCCAATCCAACACTGAGGTTGACTTCCTGACTGCTGTTTCCACGGGTGTCGGTTGTAGCTCCATGTAAAATGAATTCCTTGCCAGCTCGGGTGTCTGTTTATCGTGATATTGCTTATTGGTTCCGTTGTGAGGATTTCTGATGCCTTGATATTGAGGCTCCGGAATATACTGAAGCCTGTAGTCTTTGATCTTCCGCATCGAGTGCTGCAAGTTGTCCTGCACTTTAGCCTCCAGGGTGGCGTCATCTACGCAGCCGGCGCAGACTGCGTGTGAGCCTCCTTCCCATCCTCACCCCGTTCCTCTTCGTGTGGCCCAGCTTCTCCGAGTATTGCTCAGCATACAGATGGAGCGAATGTGATGAAAGGCTACAACCGTGACACACACGTCTTGATTTAACCACACAGCGTATCTTTATTCTGTTTGAATGGCTGCCTCTTGGTCAGTGTACCGGTTCCCCATGAGCACAATGATGTGTCCAGGCAGTCTCCTTCTTTGTAATTTTACCTGTAATTTATTATGATCTACACAGTCCGATGTCTTTGCATAGTCATTAAAGGATAGCTTTTGCATACTCACAGGAGTAGATATACGCTGGGTGACTCATACGACTCTGTAACAGAACGAAACACTGTCCATCCTCAGTTGTTCTTGCGTTTAAGCCCATTGTTGCAGCCACTGTATTCATCCACCTTGATGAGGGCCTTCCTGGTTTTCACTGCCCTTCTACTTTACCAAGCATGATGTTCTTCTCCAGGGGCAGGTCCTTTCTGATCGTAGTAGGCATATCACCAAAAAGCCAAACTCACTGTCATCGAGTCAATTCCCACTCACAGTGACCCTGCAGGACAGGGAGAACCGCCCTGCGACTGTAACTCTTTACAGGAGCAGAAAGCCTCGTCTTTCTCCCGTAGAGTAGCTGGTGATTTTTAATAGCCGACCTTCTGATTAACAGCCCAATGGATAACCACTACGCCACCAGGGCTCCTTAGTAGATATGCAGTGTATCATAATTCAGCATGTTAAACACCTAACAAATATAAGCTTTCTAGCTTTATCTGCTCAAGCCATTACTTTAAAAGTTGGTCGTTTTCTTCCAACACTCCGCACACTACTCAACACTCTGGCAGAACAGACTTTAAAAATGGTGTCTACAGGTAAGACGGGCGCCCTGGTGGCAGAGTGGGTTATGGGTTGGGCCACAAACCACAAGGTCAGCAGTTCGTACATCACCAGCTGCTCCTCGGGAGGAAGACGAGGTTATCTCCTTTCATGAAAAGTTAGTCTCGAGAACACACAGGGGTAGTTCCACCCTGTCCTATGGGGTTGCTATGAGTGCTGTTTATATATATTATCCTGAGTGGGAAGTATTTACATATCAGTGTATTACTTCATCTCTGCCTTACTAGAACCTACGAGCCAAGCATTCTTATTTGCATTTTATAGCTAAAGAGTCAACTGCGGCTCAGTAAAAGTTCTGATAACTAATAAAAAGCACACACCCGGAGGCGGCGGTAGGGTTACTGGACGTGAAAGCCGGTCTCCGTTACACCAGCACCACTAACAATGACCAGATCTCTCTGCCTGGCTCATTTCCCTGGGATCCACGTCATGGAGCTGAAGACCTAGTGGCATATAACCTCTTTCCATCCTGATGCACGTACATCCGGGAGCCCCACCTCCTCCCCGGCCCCCCATAGGAGACTAAGTGGCTCCTGCCCTTCAGAGCTTCATAGGACTGAAGTTGAGCCACACGTAAGCTCACGTTACCACCCTTCTCATACCTATTCATCCTATCTGGGATCATCGGATAATAGTTTGGGGCTATTTTGGGGCCTTTATTTTTTTTCACTCGATACCATGGTAACCACATTACATTTTCATTTATTCTCATTCCATCTTAAGTTTGGTATTTAAATAGCCCAGTTGAATTTGAATCCAAGTATCTTATCTACTTTTATGACTGACTTAACCCTATCTCCCCAGGATGAGTCAGCATTTTCTCTCTAGTTTTAGCTTCTAACCGGAAAGTGACTGAAAATAAGCTCTTGGATTCTCAGAGTCATCTCCCTTTGAGCTGCAACACCACTACTTGTAATTGATACCCCGTGTCCTCATACATCAGACTCTGGTTCCCACGGCTCTTTTCTGTCCACCCCGACCACCCATTCAAAGGCCTTTATAAAGAGGGCAGCCACCTATCAGGAAGGGGAACAATATCCTAGCAAACCATTGCCCCTTTCCTCAGGTTCCTAAGAATGAGAAGCAGAGATGTAAAGCAATGATGTTTAATATTCCTGACATGATGTTTATAGACACACAGAAGGTGAACGTGCTGGTGACTGCTTTAATGAGGCGTGGGTGGGGGTTGTTTATTCTTCTCAGTATGTATGCATCCTATTTTAGGTAAACAATCTAAAATATTGGTAGATATTTAGGATACTCCAACAGTCCACTGTTGCAAACGATGCTGTCAGATGTCAACAATGACAGCAAACACTCATCATTTTGTTTACCAGACACTGCTCAGTGAATCACCACAAAGCCATTTGAGGGAAGTACTCTTATACACCCTCAAAAAGTTAAGTAACTTGTCCTGGGTTACAGAGTTACCAAGAGATGGACGGAAGACTTGAACCTGGGCTGTGTGGATCCAGAAACCCTGACCTAGGAACATAACCTATGCTAATCCTCAGGTGGGAAAGGTCTGCTGGAACCTTTGGGCTCTCAGGGAGAAGTTCAGAGAAATCCGTGCAGGAGATGAGGGACCTTGGTGGCATGGTGGACTGTGCACCGGGATGCTAACCAAAAGGCTAGCAGTTTGAAACCTTGAGAGGAATGTGGCGTTTTCTGATCGACAACCTGAGAAACCCACAGGGGCATTTCTCCTGTGTCCGATAGGGTCGCTGGATGTTGGCACTGACTTCATCCATTGGAGGAGGGCAGGGATTCCCAGCAGCTGGGGCCATGATTGGCACACAGCATAAGCTCCAAGACTAGTGACAGACTGAATAGTACATGGATGAATGCTTCCCCTTAAACTGTAGTCAAGAATGCATCTCTTCGGTGCTATTTATTTTGGTGGTGGTGGTGGAGGTGGTGTGTGTGTGTGTTCATGTTCTAGGATGACGGGTCAACGAGTTAAATCACTAAATCGCAAGCGTGGAAAAGGCTCCAAGGTCTGTGAAAATCCTCTGTGACTGGCCACGAGAAGGATGTCGCCCGTGCCTGCAGCCCCGCCAGTGCTTGACGCCCATGGGTGGTGGCTCGGTTTCAGGGGAAGGGAAATCGATACTCCCCTTCATGCTTAGCAGCACGGAGTCATCTCAGTTTCTTTGAAGCCAGGGGAGGGTGGGAAATAAATATTTCAGGAGCTCCCTTCATGAGAGCTATAAGCAACTCCACTCATGAAACCAAAGAAGTGTATATTCACCTGTTCTGAAAAAAACCGGAAGCCCTTGTCCTCGCGAATACATTCGTACGTTTCTCCAAGCACTGGATTAAACGGCTTGCTCCCAGCTCGGAAGTAGCTGGATGCGTATGCTGATACCGCAAAGGCGGCCACGTACACCTAGAGCAGACAGGAAAGCACTCTCTGTTATTTCTGTTTCACATGACAGGAAACAAAACGCCGGCTTCTCTTCCTACGGTTTTCTCTTCAACCCCCAGAGAGCTGAAGATCTGGGTCAGAAGCAGGTTCAAACAATGCTCATTTACCCCCGAAACAAATTAACCTATCAAGTCAACGCTGCCCACTTGTTCTGATGCCCGTGTTGGCAGAGGCTGGCAAGAAGGCAGTGAAAAAGAAGATGCCC